AGTTTATGAAAAAAAAAGACAGAAAGACAGCGAAAATTTTCTTAACTTAAATCAAACCTGAAAAAGAATCATTACTTAATAAACAGCGACTTCATTTTTGAGATCAATTTGGTTTCAGTTATTAAGTCTGACAAATTTTCAATGCAACTTGTCCATTACCAACAGTTTGATTAATTCAGTCAATTGCGAGAACGGTTTGTAATTTTCTATACTATTTTCGATAACTTTCATAAAACTTTCTGATATAAAGTCAAATTAAAATGAATTAACATTATAAGGCAATTAACAGAAAAAACTTAACTGGCAGTGAGGAGCTTGAAAACTGCAACAAGTTAGCAAATATCACTTGCAAATTTCGTTTTTCATTCTTCCCAAAAGGAAAGCCCTTTAATTTGCTTAAAACTGAACTGATGAATGAAGAATTAGAAATGTTTGATGTCAGATGTCACTTCAAATCTATTCTTTTAATAAATTATTATCCTCTTTAATTTTTTCAAAATATTACTGAAATTTTGAGTTTTCAACCTAAAGTAAACTTAGCCAATTCAAGCTCTGAATTAAAAAAAAGCAAGCGCTTGATTCTAAATTTTTTTCGAATGAAAGAAGAATAAAGCGCATCGAATTCATGCATGCATACAATTAATATATACATGTGCTATTTGTTAGAATGTTGCTTTACAGTAAATGCTTCAGGAAATGATTTAAAAATGGATCATTTAAAGATCGACTGTACTTCTGTCCTACGAAGAAGCAAATCAAAACTGATTACAAAAATTGTAACTTCATTTATTAGCCTTTTTTCATACGTGCAGTAATTAATGCGCTCAGTCGAGCACAAAAAATATTTGATTAAACGTCCGATAAAAATTAGATTACATATGAGACGAAATTTCCTTCTTGCTATTTCCAGAATATCGGACGAAAACATCAGAACATTGACAATGAAGAAAATAAAAATCTCAGAGGTTTGCGCTTAATTTCATTCCCGTGATTAGAAAAAATTTCTAGTGAAATGAAAAGAATTTCTGATCGGTTAATTAAGATTAATCTTCATTGAGAGTTAGAGCTGTAACGTATTAATTGATAGTTGTAGTAATTACGCTGATGAAAAAAAAATTTAGGACAAAAACTAGTGGATACGGATAAAAAACTGGATGTAAGCAAGTTGAAAACATCACATGTTGTTTCACATCATCAATCGTTTCCGAATCTCTGTAATCACAAAGAAAACGAAAACATCTGCAAGCAAAATCGATTGCAGTCCGCTAGAAGTCTAAGCAATTTTTGTAGCGTCGACAAACAATCTCTTAGTTTATAATGCGTTCTTTTTATAGCTGCCGTCCTATGCAGTCAGATAGCTGATGAAGGGTTTAGAATACTTCGATACGCTTAATAAGTTACATATAACAGTTAATGCAAGTGTCTGAAATATTTTAGATAAAATATTACTATTTTTTTGATTGCATCAATTTGCTATTTTTAACACTCCGGGATTTATAACCGTTATAAAACCTTTAATTTTATTTACAAATAATAAATGCATCGAGATGACTGATTTTTCACAACATGGAAAGCATATCCTTAATAAACCGTGGTTATTAGATAGAAGCTACATTTGCATTACATTTTGCAAATGAAAAAGCGACAAATAAATCATTAACGAGGAATATTGATCATCGAAGCGTAATAAGAAACTTTAGCGCGAAATAGAGGAAGTAAAATCTTGTTGACAGCATGTGATAGTAATATTTAGATGAAGTAAATTAACAATTTTCATTGCATCGTTAAAGAGTCTTGATAGCACAAACATGTCCAGTGTGTCTCGTGACCTGCTCTGCGGAAAGGATTCAGAAACTTCTTAATGACCAGACTTTTGTAGCCAACTTTATCATGTCTCTTTTCATTTTCTGTAGCCTATTCATTTTAAGTTGGATAGGAAGTATATTAGATGAGCCACTGTCAAGAAGGATAACCGAGTCTTCTGCTTGCAAGCTTGTGGAACATTCAGGAGAATAATCTTGATGCATTACTGTTTCTTTCGCCACTTCTCCATTATTTCGTATCAGTGAATTTTCTTTAGTGGCACAGCTGGAAATAATCAGTAGAAACAAAACAAAAACAAAACTAAACATCAAAAACCCTTTAAGTTTTGCTTGATGTTTGGTGATAAGTATCTGCTGTATTTAACGCTTCTTTGAAATTACTGAATCATTTAATTTAATTCGTCTAAATTCCTCGTAAATTATGTTAATTAATTTTTCATTAGGTTCTTGTTTCGGAAGGTTAAATGTAATTATCATGAAAGTGGAATAGTGTATTTTATGTCTGCATATGGCTGATTCAGTAAATTGCCAATATGGGGACTGATAAAGTTGATGTAAAATACTATTCTGACTAGCTTACAGTAAGAAAAGATCAAATAATTACTTAGGGAATAAGTTGCTTTCATGCTACAATGCAGTTAGTAATATTTTCTTTCCTTTGCTTTTTAGCTGAAAATAATTAAAAATATTTTAGCAGTTGAAAAATATGCACTGATCTGTCACTCAAATTGCATTGCCAATTCCATGAAAAGTTTCCGTTTCTCAAATTCTCATTAAAGCTGATCATTTTCTTCAGACTAGAAATCTTTAAAAGAAAATAAAGTTTCAAAATTATATCAGTAAGCATGACCTTGGATAGGAATTACTTGAATAAAGAGTAAGAGTACTAAATGCAAGTGAGTCATCACGATAAGGTTCTTCAGTACTTTGGTCCACTGGTCATGAAGATTTGTTCTGATATTACGATAGCCGCTTCACATGTATGACACATCGCGAAGCTTATATTTATAGCACATTGCTAAATCTTGGTTTCCAAAGTCAATGCGTCTTGTAGGTTCCAAATGTTTCTTGCTTATTTTGTCTCACAGAGTTCCAAACCCTCGTTTTTCTCTGCTCGAAGCGCAAGATTTTATATTATCTACGTGCAATTTACATGTGGTCTGATCGTTTTCATAATCATGAATCTGTACTTGCCTGACGTATTTCACGAAGTTTATTTAGCTGCATATCTATGTATTTGTCAAATCATATTTCGAAAACCTGCATGTAATATTTGTTGACTATATTCAGGCTTTTGGAATCTTTTGTTGAATCTTATATTTTTCTTAACTGTAGTTAAGTTTGTGCTTTACTTCAGAAATATATTGCGGAGAGAAAAGTAATGATATTGAAGGCTAGTGTGCAGTACAAAATTGTTGCTAAGCAATATTAGTATTAATATTTCGAGTAATGCTGGTGAAATTAATAGTTTATGACATTATAAACTTCAGCAATTGATTATATTATTAAATATTCGGAGAAATTAGAATGTTATCATGCATAACTCATCTGTTCTAGTTTAACGTTGATTTTTCCAGAAATTTAACTTTCTGGATGACTTCTTCATTTTAAAGTAATCATAAAAGCCTGCTTCTTCACTTGTTCACTTTGAAATAGTCTGTTCAATCTAATTACTGAAGAAATGTATTACAGCAATGAATACACCAGATGAAAAATCTCAGAAATCGAATCAGATCATAGATTATACTGTAGATTGTCGTGAAAATTTACCAAAAACCCAAGATAATCTGTTATCTGAAGTTGGTGTATCGCAGAAGACAAGTACTCCGGAAGTTACAGGGGCTGTAAGTAAAGATTTTTGTCGTTTTTTATTTTAGTCTGTCTTCTCAGATGAATTCATTTCAGTCATCTTTCTGCACTGATTAAACTCGTATCATTTTTCGTCCGCAATTTTCACTAAATGGGTTTGATTATATATATAATCGTATTGAAAAAAAGGATTCTTTGCATAACGATTTAATAGATTTTTTACCAGTTAAATTCTCCATGTTGCATCGCAGTGTATTCTTCATTTCATTATTGCACTGATGAAATCAAATTCATGAAAACAAGATAACTGTGATTTGGGTTTTGATTTGGGAGTTTTTAAATTTTATATCTTTATTGATGTCTCCAATGAGCCCTGACGAATTCACATCGTACTTTAAAATAGTTTCTAAACCCAACAACTACATTTTATTTCTAGATTCATTTGTTAGTTTGCAAGATATTGGGATATTTTGAGAGATGTATATTAAAGGTGAAGCCAGTAAATGCAAACCTTTGCTTATGTAAGGTTTCCTTATTGTTTTAATCAAACGTTTTCAAGCATCAAGTGTTTTTTATTGTTTTGCAGTTGAAAACACTTTTTGATAGCTATGAAGAGATGCGAAATACTTCGTGGGCTGAACTGATAGAAGAAGAGCAAAGATTGAAGTGTGCCTCGGAGCAGAAAGATGAAGTTATTATGCCAGCAAAACTAGATTCACCTGGATTCCTAAATACATGTCTTCTTACAACTTCCCATGACAAAAGAGCCGAAAAAGTTGTAAAAACAGCAAATTATGGTATAGAAAAATCTGAAAATATTGCATCAAAGAGAAAACGAATTATGAGAGCAAAAAATAGGTAGTATATATTTGTTTTGTTTGAAAAATGAAAAAAACTTAAAAGACCGTTACTAATACTGGAGGCTATTCATCATTCTATACATTTCAGTTAATTTATATGAACGCAGCATTATCACTTTCAAAAAGTTATTTACAAAGGGCGTAGTGCTAGAATTTATTTCCTGTTGTAGAATTTAGTATTTATATAAAGAAGTTTTGTACGTCTTTGCTCATTGTCAAAAACATTCTATACAATCTACTATATTTTTTAGCTAATCATTTATCGTCTCTAGGACTCATTAACTTTTATATCATCAAATTTATCTGACGTTTCTATCATTGCAGAACAGCGCACTGCGTGTACGCTTCGGAAGTCGTTTCTGATCATCCATCAAGAACCGGTGAAGAGTCATGTCGAAAATTGGTGCTTCAAAAATTTTATCATACTGCAATTAATTCTTAAAACGGTTCTGAATTTTGTAAGTGTACACTTTTATTTAAAACATGATTTGTATTTTAGCCTCGTCGTTTGTCTAATCGAAATCAAGCAGTTAATTTTGCATCGAGTACTGATGATGAAGGGAATTTAGAACCGGCAAGGCATCAAGTGAAAAGAAAGCGCACAGAAATAAACGATAGTAGCTTTAATTTTAATTATTCGAATTCTAAATGCCGAATGAATTCAAGTATTAAAAAATCGGATATGGAAAGGTAATTACAAGATTAATTTCATTTAATGAAATCCCATGAATATCTTCAATTCCTCATAATTATAAAAATTAATTGACTGTACCACATTTCTCATTCTAGTTCATCTACAGACGGTACTTCCATTCTTTCTACATTACGAGTTAAAAAACATTGGGTTGAACCAAAACTCGGTTGGTGCAGAGATGAAGTTACTCTTCAAAGGCGTACAAAAGTATAATTTTATTATTCAATTTTCTTATTGTTGTCCTTAAATGTATATGTTAAGAAATGTGACGTTTTGACTTAAATCAAGATTTCTATATTTTTGATTTGTAATATAAAGCATAAGTGTGGTGCATATTTCAAGGAAATTGCTAAAGCAAAAGAAAAGCCAATATATATCAAATACTTTTCAATGATTGCACGGAGCTCTCGTACAAAAAATATGCCAAAAACTCCGAACAAATATATCAATTATTCACGTAGATCATGGGATCAGCAAGTGTATTTTCATGCTTTATGTGTATATTTAAAAAAATCTCTACTTCAGTCACCGATAACTTCCTGACTGCTTTTTATTTTTGAAAACTGTCTATTTATTGACAAAAAAACATCATTGATTTTTGCTCGTATTGTATTTCACAGGTACGTATTTGGAAAAGATCATTATATGTTTGGGGGAATGAAACACCGACAGAAAGCTGTGTTAGCTCATGCGAATCCACGTCAACAGATATTTCGAATTATGACGCGGATTCATCATTTTCTTCATCTTTATCGCTAGCATCTGATGAAAATGAACCATTTATTGACTCTTCTAAGGTCATTTTTAATGTTTTCATTTGTTTAAATTTGTATGATGATCCCAAAAATTGATCATTAGTTTTTGGAAGTGTACTACTTACAGAGTATTTTTTATTATTTATTGCAGTATTTCTACAAAATTTTATCTCTGTGGTTGCTAGAACCCTGATAGCTGTTTTTGAAATAGTAATTTATTGTCTAATATCAGATAGAACCAGATGCGGCAGCGTCTTTACTTGGTCATCTTGATATAGACACAAGATCGAATACGCTCACATTGACCTCTGTTAAAACTGATGAGGAGTCAACGCTGAAAGGAACGCCAAAGAATGTTCTTGGACCTCGTGATTTTAGTCATTTGTAGCCTCTCTGTTGGGTGTTCGTTGTTGGTCGGTTGATTTTGATGTTGGTTGTTGGTTGATTTTTTTCGCGTTTTACTAATATCATTTTTCTCCGAAGTTGTTTCTGAAGGAAAATTTTGATCCTAATTCATTTTATTTTGAAGAAATAAAATAATACAAGAAGTGTTCTATGATCACATTCGACGCGAGCTAATATTTTAACATTAAATTTGATTACTTGAAAGTATTGAAAACGGTTTTCCTTACTTAGGGTAATATTTATACTCATATCAAAGATTTATGACATTATTTTTTATGCTTTTTGGATGCGCTGGTATTCCTCGGAAATTATTTCTCGGCCTTTGTATTGAACGATTTCGCTTCCGATTGACGTTCCACGGATGTATTTCCTCAGTTTTACTACAGGAGTCATTAAGTTTATGTTCATTTAGTTTTGGAGGTTTTTTTTCATCCTCTGGAACGTTATATTTTGTGCATTGGCGAGTAGAAATCGTAATGCATAAGTTGTATCAAGTATTAGTATTATTTCTGACTTCATTGTGTTTTTCTCAACTGTATTAGGAAAGCTTTGTTTACATTTCAGATGATCACATGTTGTTTTGTTGTCGATGATGTCTCATTGTTTTGTAGTTGAAATGTTTCAGTTTTGTTTTATATTTTGCAGAGCAAGAAGATATTTTGATTTGAAATGCTTCTGAAGAGGATAATTCTTGGGGAATTTGTTGCTACTGAAGCAGTATTTTCAGAAAATTTTCATCGAGTTATTGAAACTTTATAAACAAAACCTTATGTTCTTTCGCAACGGTGCATCTGTGGTTTATTGAAGGTGAAATGCATTGCTTATGGTATTGTTTTGGGTTCACTAAGGAGTAGTTCGGAATTGTTGCTTGTTAGAAGTATGAGGTGTGAAGTTCTTGTTTTTCGTTTTAAGAAAATTTGGGATATCATTCATGCTCATTCAAGGGGTTGAATAAGATGGAACTGAGGTTTATTTTGAGTATATAGGGGGCAGACAAATTATGTCTGTATCAATTTTATTTGATGTAGGGATTAGCAGGTTAGTTGCTGCTAACTGGTTGTCAGTTGTTAAACTTTGATACTGACATTGAAGGCTGGTAAATTGTGAGTCAAGTGGTAGGTAGGTTCAGTGATGTGGATAACTGATGTCCTCTTTTGGGGGGTGCTATAAGGTACAAAATTCTTTCAGTAGAGATTAGAATTAAGCAGCGAAAATTACATTTATTTGTCTGTGTTAAAAGCTTGTGTTTATAAGTTCTGTGAATGGGGTTGCCTAGTTTCTTGAGATTGTTATATTTGATAAACTGCTTACTGATAAATCTTTCTGAGTTTTTGGGCTGAATTTATGTTCTTATTTGTCAGTTGTTCAACCATGACAAGACATTGAGAATGCGTTTCAAATCAACATTCATCAGATTAGATTTAATTAATCGTTTGAGATCACCGGCTAGTTTGTGCTAGTCAGCAGAGTTTTTAGGATGACTTTGGTTCTGAAGAGGATGATAATAGTATAAGAAAACGAACGGAAATTGATGAAATGATGGAAGAGAAGTAGAGTATTAGGGTCATTGTCACATACAGACATAAATACCAATCCATGATTGCTCAAAAGTAACATTTATGTTGGCACATAAATAGTCCTTCAAATTGCGGTTTGCAGATTTTGAAAATCCCTTTGCATTTGCAGCGATTTGAATATAGTGAGTTACCGTATTTGTCTGTCTTAATGCTCGTGAATTAAATCCGACCGCCTTTTTCTAATGCGACAATTTTACATGAGGTGGGCATTAGTTGATAACCTTGGCGATTGCGTTTACCCTCTCACTTCTTACCTTTTTTCTCCCTCTACTAGTCATCTAACATTTCAGTTATGATTCTCGTCTATTGCAAAAATTATATATGTACATGAAGTAATAGAAGCTTGTGATTTTGACATTTGATGACAGACAAATAGAGGTCCAATCAAAAATCATTGCCATGCTTTCATGACTGATATTTACCCACTTTATACACATTGATTTTTGTCTTTTACTGGATTTTCTGCCTTACTTTTTTGTTCGTCTTGTTTGACGGGAAAAAAATTAATTCTGTCATGTATTAAAGTAGTACTTTTTTGGATACTGTTTGGCAATCAAAGGCCTAGAAGCATCATAAATGAAGATCTTTCCTTTTTTGGCAAACATTGATCGCAGTGACTTCTCTCGGCATCTTCATGGAACAAGAAGCCTCACTATAAATTCTCATTTGTTCTGTACAGATTTCCTGTTTTTCGATAAGCCTTGATTGCAATAGTAACACCTACTTGACATTCTAACAAGACAGAAGATACACAGAGATTTTCATTACATGTAGGTTTTTTTGTAAACATCTCTCACTTAAAACGGAGTCTGTGGAATCGGTACTTCACAATGTAGTGGTTGCAAAACTCGCGCATTCTCGCAAAACTGGTGCAACACTGAATATAGATCTTCCTACAGATATGTGGCAGGCAGGTAAATTCATTATGTATTGTAACTGATTCCCTTGACTTTTATTTCATTTATCGCAACATCAGAGACCGCACGACACTCCACGCTTAAATTTCGTTTACCGCCAATTGTACATATTAAGCGATGCACCATTCACACTGTGTTATTGTGAAATGTAAACATTTGTTATAATCTTTGTGTCTATGAGGATTGCTAAACAATGAGCAAAACCTCTAGTTAACGACCCTGGCAGGACTCGAACCTGCAGTCTTCGCTTTAGGAGAGCGACGCCTTCTCCATTAGGCCACAGGGCCCCTAGTGGCAGCATTGGAAAACTTTCCTAGTATCATGAAATTATTTCATGTATGTAGAAGCTGTCTTACAATCTTTTATAAATTGTAATTCAAATATTCAAAAAAAGATAAGTTGCTATATAATTTCTGATTTAATTTCATAAGTTTTGAAGTATCGTTGTTTTCAAGAGTATTATTTCTACTGGAAAAAATCTCCCAACATTGCATTTATTAAACTTCATTATTTATCTGATTTTCGTCTCATAATCAGCATAATTGTTGAAATTTTTGAATTTACTTTAAGGAATATATTTTTCTGATGGGATTGTGGGAAAATAATTATGAGATAAATAACAGCTGGAAAAGAAGTTAAAAAATGCAACAAACTGCTGAAAACTGAGGTTATGAAAGGGGTAACTGCAGCAGAACTTCTTGTCAGTTTATTCTCATCCCTTACTATCAGAAATACAAGTTTCTTCATTTACCAAACATGCCATACAAATTTTTTCTATTTTTTTCTAAAAACCTTTAAAATTTAACATAATTTTTCCGACTATAATGTCCACCTGACCATTATTAAATGTTTTCTTACTTGAATACTGAAATGTTTGGAAAAATGTAGTAGATATTTTTGTGAAAATTGAATGCCAGGTTGGTTTGTTCTTCAGGAACTACAGAACAAAAATATCTATATTGCTCTGCACTGAAGTGTACTCTACTCCCAATCTCCTGTTCAAAATTTGTGTATATTATTCATTCATCATTGACTTATTTCAAATTCGAACCAAATGACATGTTGAAGTGAAATAAAACGCATGATTTAGCTTTAGAAAATTAACTGGTACATCTGACTTGATTCAAAAATAATTTAATTATCGTATTTTTTTTGTGGCTGAAATCAACTGTTAGTTTAATTTAGAGACTGAAAATTTAGTGCTTAATACTGCATATATTTAGTCCATTTACTTGAAAATTAGTTGCTCACAGTTCCTCTAGTTCCATAAAGTCTGAAGAGTGAACAAAATGAAACTTGGAGCATCTAGTACTGATGCTAGTCACCTAGCTTAAAATTGATATTTTTCCGTGAACAATGAGCAAGAGTAGGCAGATAAAGTATATGTTTATGATTCATCGGTAATCAGCAAAGAAATTATAGACTTGTCTTTCAAATTAATCAGTTTTATTGGTGAATAATGCACCTTTAGCGGAAAAAAACAAACCTCATTTCTGTTGCATGTCTACACTAACCGTTCACTTTTAGTGCATACTTTTCATCCTTGAAATAACCTTATATTTAGTTAGTATGTGCAGTCCATCACAGTAGTATGGCAGAAAGCAGTACTTAACTTTGTATACAGGATTAATTAAACAGATAACTCTAAATCGATGCTACAGAACGTCTTACCTGTTTTAAGTTGCTGCTGCGCTTATTTGGACAGCAGTGCTCAGTTCGGTGGAGTAAATAGAATATCAATTTAAAACCTGATTAATTGGAATGTATACTTATATTTCTCAACTGAATGTTAAGAATGAAATATATGTGTTATACGCTAACATTTGAAATACAATTTCTCAAGTAAGCAGCACTTCACTTCAGGTTCATCCTTTTTTATTTCGACAAATCTTATAAAAGAAGTAATATGATTTTCACATGCATTTTTTTATCATTAGGTTATCATTCTTGTCAAGTGGTATAATAGTATAGCGGTATGTGCAGTAATAATATTTTATTTGAAGGCTGAAAGGCAAAATACAGTACTAGAGAAAATTTTAGAAAAATGCGACGTTAGGTGATGTTTTTAAATGTCATTTGCAATTTGTGATAGTCAATTAAAGAAGATGCAGTCAGTCTTGTTGATATTTTATTTTCTCTCGGCTCTAGGCGAGAGCGCGAGAGGAGGTTATTCTCTTCCTTTAGTGACCACATAAAACTGACTTCATTAAATACCATCTTTGCAGGTTGTCTTTCTACTTACTGTTGCCAAATGCTACCAGTGTTGCAATTACCTATGAGCATGCAAATAAGAACTCATCTACTTTTGAAATCTAGTAATCACTCATTGAACAAACCGTCCGAATGCATATATTATAGAGAGAGAGAAAAAAGTAGATATATAAATAGGTAGATAGATATAGATATATAGGTATAGATAAATAGATCATCTGTCTCTTTAATGTGGTTTTCGATCATCATGCAATCTTTTTTTTTGCTATGCCACAGAA